CTGAATTTCCCATAATCACTAATTTGATAATTCCGTGATTTAAGTGGGTCTGGCATGAACTGTTCTCTGTAATCTGAAGAAGGCTCAAATCTCATGTTTCCTGAAGGAGTAAGAATATTCTATGATTCTCAATGTTTTTGTTATTACTGTGTAAAAATTGACTTGAGTACTTATTATTTTCCTCATTCACACATCATATTTGTTTGCTAAAATCAAAATTCTTTTTAAAAAACCTTGCTTTCGAGGCATCTTTCTTGTTGAGTTTCTTTAAAAGTTTCTGTACTGCATGTAAACTGTGCATAATGTCAGTGACAGTGATGTATTTCTGGGAACATGGCCATAGGCCTTCTGAAGAAGTCCTGGGACAAACATGACTGACTCATGTGTTCCTTGTTTTCTCCCTTCAGGTTTTTAATCAGACATATTGGTTTTGTTCTTTATTTCAGTCCTTACATTTAGCTATTGTCTGTCCTATAGCAGGCCCTCAGGAAATGTGAGGGACTGATGAAATTATTTCAAAATTCATTTTCCTTTGTTTTTAAGGCCAAAAGTGTGAGAATAGATGTGACAGCATTTTGAAAGCTATTGTTTAATTGTGAGGAATTATGTTTGATAAAATTATTTATTTATTAATTACTAGTTCTGTTTAAATGTTTACAAGTCACTATTAACATAAGATGATTTGATTACTTAAATAATATTTCTCTAACTTACATCATTATGATATGCCTGGCATAAAAGACAAAAAGTAGAAATACACATAAAATCCTAATGTAGTAATTTCACCATGGATCCTCATTTATGGTTATAGGTTCAATTTCAATAATTTTCCATAACATAAACAATTTAATCTCATTATATTTTTTTCTTCATCCTGTAGAATGTTTCTTTAGTGGATATTGCAAGTCCCTAGTTTGCCTTTCTTTCCTTTTTTCTATTCTTACAGTTGCCTGCCTATATTCAACCAAGATTTAGTGTGTGACCATATGTTGAACTTTTATTTGATTCCAACCATATTGGGAGTACATGCAAATATAATACATTTTCCATTCTAAAAAATATCTTAACACTCACTCCCTAAGTTGTGTACATAAACAGAAATTCACAAGTACTTCTTTGAGAACTCACGTAAAATTTTTTCATTCATAAATTTCAAATTAAGTTTTACTTTATCTTAGCATTTCAAAATAAGAAGACAGATATTTGTTGTCCCAGTTTTACAGTTGATGAAACAGATAGGCAGATGTTACAAATGATTTTCTGTATATTATGGTGTTAGCACCTGGCCAGCTCATACTTGTTTCTGAATCTCTTTTAGGAGGAAAGCATCCTATGCAAAAAGCTAACTGTAGAAGTGTTAAGAACTTCACACTTTTCCAACTGTCGTAGAATAAGTGTGCTTATTTTGGGGCTGAGTTGGTGGTTGATATGTACCTGATGACAGCATGCTACTTGGACAAAGAAATAAGCATTTCTTTTAATAAATCCAGCAGCTTCCTGAGAGACTACTTTGTACAAGTCACTGTATTGTGTTACTTAGTTAGAGAGATAATAAAACCAAGCATTTTTTGTTAGTGGTCTTCTACCAGAATAGAAAGAAAGTCCTAGATATACTGTAGCAAGCTCTTAAATGGAAGAGTTTTTTGTTGTTGTTGTTCTTATTTTCTTAGTTTTGTTTATAAGGTGATTAAAATGAGAAGGGCCTTGGAGTAAAAATTTCATATACAGCATTCCATTTTTATCTTTTCAGCAGCCCCAAGGTCAAATCTGTATCTCCATTTTAAGGATAAATAAAATTGAGGCATAGATATTGTATCCTGGAATTATTGAAGAGTGCATAATTTGTTCTTTGAAGAAAAAGAGGATGGAATGATCAAATTAGACCAAGAAAGAGATCTGAAAGATTTATATATTCATAACAGAAGACTGGCAGTTTTTCACCGGATTTGTTTAAATGTTTTAATTGTCTTTGGAGCCTTTTATGGATCACACTTAATCTTCAGGATCATATTTCTGGCATGGATCCCTGGGAATATGTAGAAAGGACATCTTAGAATGTTCCAGTTGGCTGGAAGTATGGAAACAGCTGAGGGATTTTTCTGGTCAGGTCTAGTAGAAGCAAAAATCATGCTGCAAGTTCTTGTCCTAGAACATCGTAGGATATGGGAAATTGAACTTAGTGAACATAGAAATGATGATGATGAGAAAACCATAAACAAATTTTAAAAATAAGTGACTTTCATGGCCTGTTCCTGACCTTTCCCATGGTGTCACATAATTAAATTATATTGCTCATGGACTAAATAAGGCAGAGAGTGTAACAGTTGACCTTATAACTTGGTATTTTGTGCTGGCTTTAGTACATATTTCATGTATTGAATTGAGTATAAAATATAAAAAGAAAAGTTAAAATCTTCACAGAATTTAAGTATAATAATATTTCTGAGAAAAAAGAGCCTCTATCCTTTTTTTTACTACCAGAATGTCATAATGTTGAATGTGCCATTATTTGAGAGTAATTTTAATAAGGAGTCTAACCAAAGGAAACTCATGAAATATAAATTTTTTATTGAGTTCTGTGAAATAAAGCAACTTAATGTTCTGTTGCTCAGTGGAACTGCTAACAAAGCATACGAAGCTTACTGGGTTTGCTTAATGGATATATGAGTCATTTATAATTATTAGACTCAAATGGCATACAATTGGACAGTTTTAGCCATTAAACAAGTTAACTTTCTTTTAATAGGTTAAAATTACCCCAAAATACCAATCCTGTTTATACTTTCAATAAACTTTAATAAATTTACACTTCACCCACATTGATGTTATAATTTTGAATTTGTGGAATATGATTTAATAACTTTTGCATTTCTTTCTAATGAGAAGAAGAAAGCATTTCTGCATGTGATCAGTCCATTGTTTTAGGCAGATGGGTCTGTATGTCTTTAAGTTTCTTCTAGTCTTGGGTAATGATGGGCAGCTTTACCTATTATCAACAGAGCTGCTGAAAGACCATGAAAGTTCTAAATCATTTATTCCTGAGATTGAGCATTGTTGGTCTCTTAAACTACTGCTTGGGGCAATGTTTTTTCAGAGATTGTATCTTGCAGCTTGTGCTCTGGTGACATGCTCTCATTTATCACAAGGACTTGATCTGAATGCCATAACACTGACATGGTCTGAGCAGGCAGGAACTGGGAAAGCCTGACGAGGAAATCAAGTGTTCATTAGTGCAACTGGGACCTTTTTTCTTCCCAGGAAACATAGTACACTTCGTGCTTCACATTGAATTCATCGTCAGTCGCTATACCTGGATCATTTTGAAATATATTGCTTTAATCTAAGTTCTTCTATTTGCCTTTGAACTTTATTTGGTATAAGTTATTTGTCACTATTAAGCTTCACCTTATTAGTTTTAGCATATAGGTCTAGTCATTGAAATATTTTAGAAGATGGATTCTGTTATCAATCTGGTGGCCTTCCTTATGGAAGGCTGCTTTTTAGCATGTCTTTAGGAATGGAAAAGAAATGAAAGATATACAACAGGAAAATGCTGTCAAAAAGCATGTCATATGAGGATTATAAATGTTTTCATAATAACCGTCGGTATTTAATAGTAGATACTTCCCATTTTCACAAATACAAATATATTTACTCATATTTACATAAACTTTTAGAGGTAATTGCTAGCAATAAGACCATAAGTACATGATACATCTGTTCAAAGCATAATCACTATTTGTCTGTGTACATGGATGACCTATCTTCTCTATTTAATTATTTTATATATTTTCAAGTTACTTAGTAAATGCATTTATATGACTAATACCATGACTGACATTTTAAAGCTCTTTTCTATAATAGTTATATTAGTGATAGGTTTTACAGTTTTTTCACTTTCCTCCAGAGCACCAATAAAATTCTCAGCAGTAAACAATAAATCAACTTTTCCTCCCTCTATATTCCCCGGTTATGCATGCTTTGAGTTTTTATTAAATGTCCTAGAATTCAGTTGCTAGAGCTTTGATATGTTTCTATGGTCTGTAGGATTTCAGGAAAAGATGCAGGTAAAGAACTGCTTGGATTATGGTGTCAAAAGACAAAATTGCATCAAATGTAAAGATCTAATTGGATTTTGTGATTCAGTAATACAGGCTGAATTTCATTCTATAAAATTGAATGAATGAGCGATCTGCTGGGCATGGTGGAGCAAGTGGTTTTGTAAGATGGGAACAAAGAAACAGAATGATAACAATAAATATGGAAAATATTTTTGTAAGGATTAAAGTAAATGGAGCTTCCTAAACATACTGGGTCAGGATTACTGATGGGTTTACTGTGAATTTCTTGTTTTCAGGAGAAACTGGTCTTTTTGTTTCTGCTTGCTTCCTGAAAGTTTCAGTTTGATTATACTCACTTAACAGGAGTGACTCCATTTTGATTTGATCTGTTTGAGTTTAGTTCTGGAGTTCAGTTCCAAACAATGGCCTCCCACATGTTTTATTTTATTTTATTTTTATTTTTTGGTATTGGGGATCGAACTCAAGACCTTGTGTGTGTGAGGCAGGCAGCAGAACCACTGAGCTAAATCCCCAGCCCCTGCATGTTTTATTTAGCAATGCCACTCAATTATCATTTGATGACTCTCTTCATGTTTGTTGTTTTAGTATGTGTGTGGTGGTGAAGGGGATCGAACCCAAGACGACACACACACAGAAAGCATGCAGTCTACCATGGAGCTATAGCTCAAGCAGTTGTTGGTTATCTTTAAATATTCAGAAGTTGCAAATCTTTATGAAGTCATGACTGACTTAAAAGTGAAATTGATCAGTCATTCCATCTTTAAGTTCCATCAATGTTCTGACCATATTTCTGAGTGCCTATAGTCGAGTTTTCTTGTTTTACATCGAGTATAAGTAGTATTGCATATATATATACATATATTTTATGTATGTATGTTATAATGTCGTGTATATGTTTTCCCTCTTACATTTATACAGTTTATACATTTGCCTGACTAGACTGTGTTGGCATTTAGCAGAAAGACATAAAAATGGTCTCATGTCAGTAGGAAGCCTAGCATCAAACCCACCATAAATATTCAGTAAGTACAAAATTACAGTTAGTATGAATATGTTCTGGGGCTTTATTTATAGTATGGTAACTGTAATTAATAAGCACATATTATACTTAAAAGTTTTTGAGAGTGGATCCTAAATTGTCTCACCACAAATAATAAGTGTGTGAGTGATGGATGTTAGTGTGATTTAATCGTTTCAGACTGTATACATGTATCAAAAAATCATACAATATACCATAATTATATAAATTTGTACTTGCAGTTATACCTTAATATAACTGTGGCAAAAAGAAAAATGAATAAATGTCATAAAGTGAAAACCTGAATGGGTGAGTGAACCATGCTTTCATCCTCTCCCCTGTTCTCAGGATTCTGGTCTGGAGCCTCACTGACATTTACTTGTGCCTGGTCCATAGCTGTCTTAATATTCATCCTCCTTTAGTTTAATTTTACCTAGTTTTCCAGTAGAAGAAGCATCCTTTGGCCTTTTTGAGATAATTATGAATAAAAAGGAATAAATTGCTTTAATAATTATTGGGTTGCTAATTCTTTTCTAGTCAAGAAAATATAAAGCATTATTAATTAAATGCTTATTGCTTTCATATACTTGGACAGGAAGCAGGCTAACAGGAATTTGTAAACTGGTGTCCTTTAGTAAGTTGTTTTTATGGAGGCTTGTCTTATATAAATGAATATTAAGCAATGAGGAGAGAAATACTCTTGAATATAACTTTTATTAAATTAATGTTTACATACATAATTAGGTTTCTTTAACTTTAAAAAATAAATATGCTGTATATTTGTTACTTTAAAAAAGAAGGCTTTTATAATTTTTAAGATAACATGAAGACTTTTAATCTTTGAGTAAACTGAATAGGAAACATCAGATCCTAGAAAAAAAGAGATGAAGAATTTCCCAAAGGACTCTATAAGTGTATGTAGAATACCCTTGCCCGAGTAGACTGTGTTAGCACTTAGCAGGGAGAAATAGTCCTTAACACATAGCAGAATTTAGCATATGGAAGCAGTCAGCCTGACATAAAGCTGCTATATGGACACATTCAGAAGCCCTTGGCAAACAGGTGCAACAAACAGGCAATTTTCAGGAGCCATAGAGAGTCAAGTTCAACTTGACACAGTCTGGGAATGGTCAGCAGGGGAGGAGTGTGAGTGATCCTTTTCCCAACTTTACAGAAGAAATACTATTGATGGTGGTTGATTTTTTTTTTTTTGAGAGCTATTTAGGCAGCCCTACAGTGGAAGGCAGAATCATTAACACCACTGCCTGCTGATCATTTCTAATAATTCAAGGAAGATAAATTGTAGTTATACTTAAAAGGATCCCAAATATACTGGAAATTACTGTAAATTTTTGTGTCTCTCCAAAGGGAGTTCCTGTCAAAGGAAAAGAAGAAATGTGGATGGAAGTCAGCTATATAAATGGTGCTGAAGAGTAGCATGTGTTCTGTGAAGCTGTATCCCATGATATCAGAGAATGCTATTCTAGGAAGAAATAGAGTACAACTTGCAATGACTTTGAGGAGTGTGGTCATTAGACTACTTAATGACCCAATGAAGAAGTCTTCTAATAAATTTAAGGTGATAATTAAAGATGATGTATAGACATGTTTGGAAAACCAGATGTTGGAAGGAATAGAAAGAAAATACCTTTTTACAGTGATTCATAGGAAAAAGCACACAGGAAAAGATTCAAGATAAATATAACTGATATTATTTTATGGTTTAGTAAATTGAAATAGGAACTTTAATACACTACACTTCGGTAAATAGCTTCCCTTACACTTAACAGTATGTGACTCAACAGAAATGTAAACTTTGCTTTAGAAATCACATCTAGGAAAAGAATATTAGCTACCAAGTACATTTCTGTGTATACCAATTAATCACATCTTTAACACATTATGGATGCATTTTAAAAGAGATGACAGTCATGGCTTCATGGGCTATATGCTAAACAGCCTGAATAGAATATACGCCTCAGGTGCCCACTTCTTGTCATCAGGCTTTGCCTATCTGATCTCTAAGAGCAGCTCCTGCTCCTGCTGCTGTTTTCTCCAATCCCTTATCTTGTCACTACCTCAATCACCATTCTCCAGATACCTTGGCCCGGAATGTTCTTTTACTATGCCACACTCCTTTCTGTTGTCAAAGGTACTTTGAGCATGCAGCTTGTTTTGTCTGTAATGATCTTTTCCTAGCGCTTTATATGACTTGTCTGTTTTTTAGTGCTCAGATTTCTGCTTAAATGTCAACTCAGAGAGGCCTTCTCTTGGTCCACGTAAAGTACAAATGGCTTAGTCTTGGTACACTGTCTTCACAGTACTATTTATTTTATCTATACCAATTTATTTATTTATTGTCCTTTGTCTTCAGTAAGATATATCATGAAAGCAAAGCGTTTTATTTTGCTTTGTTTTGCATCTTGTATTACTGGTTACTTCCTATAACTACAGCTTGATTAAGTAGGTCCTCAGTAAGTCTTTTAAAATAAATTCAGAATTGATTGATTTTCAGTTCTGCAATTTCTGGCTTGAACATTTTGTAATTTTTCTCTATCATCAGAATGTTTTATTTTTGCCAGGATTTATAAATATTTATTTGTTTACTTATTTATTTTGAGACAGACTCTTGCTTTGGAGTTCAGGCTGGCCTGCAACTGTGGTGATCCTCCTGCTACAGCCTCCAGACTGCTGGGATTACAGGAACATACCACCATGCTCAGTTTTAATTTATAAATTTTACACGAGCTGCTTTTCATATGATAGAGTAAACTCAGCTCAGGTTTTCCTAAGATGGTAGCTGTAATCAGGGTATATCCGGACTGAACCAACAAATCTGCTTACTTAACAATACATAAAAACAATACAGAACTCTGCTACACTAACTTGTTACTTATCCTTCGTTGATGTAAATTTTAATATGCTACACTTATATGTAAAAACACATATGTGTGTGTGCAAATTAACATGTAAATCATTTCATTCCAGTTAAAATATAGCTCATCTTGACAGTAACTAATATTTGAAAGCCTACAGTAGGCCCAGCACTAACTGCTTGGGTTTATTACTCACAGTTGTACTCACAACAATGTAGTTAGGTATCATTATCTCCATTTTACCAATGAGGATTAGAGAGAGTCAGCAAGTCATGACATTTGTTTTATATATGTGGACTGAAAATTTTTCCTTTTTTGCATTAAGTTTATTGGTACCTTTAAAGCAAACAATACAGTTACATTTATCATTGAAATCTTGTACCTTTACATGACATATCTTGGTTCTTGATTTTTTTTCCCATATCCCTGCCCTCCCTTCACCCCTTCACCCTTCCCTATTTACAAAGACTTTGTTCCCATTTTTTCCTTTTTTCACGTTTTCATTTTCCTTATTTCCTTTCCCCTACCCTTCCCACTTCCCCTTTAGCCATTTTCTTCTGATTTTACATCATCAGTTATACCATTTGAACCTTATTCACACTTTTAGTTTTTTACACCGGAGAAACTATTCAGTATTTACTCAAGTGTGTCCTTTTTATTCACTTAAGAGTATGGCCTCAATGTGCATCCACTTAGCTATAGATAATTTTTCAATAATGTTATTTTTAGTTTTTGCTAAAGAATCTTTTTTCTCTATGCAACTAAAACTGATAATAAACAGTATTAATGTAACAGCTGTGTCATTTATGATTTACAAAGCAGTCTAAATTTAATATTTAACCAAAAAGCAAGGCTTGTGACTAATTTGTCAAATAAATCTTTTGTCTTTTCAACTTCCATCAAAACAGTACTTTTTAAAGCCACTGTTTAAAAAGCTGTCTTCATAAGAGCCACACATTAGTGTATTGATCTTAGTGCATTTTGATCACATCCTTTATTAATCTTATTCTTGTGTGTACCTACATTCCTTCGTGTATTTTGTTTTGTTTTGTTTTTTACAGTGAGAGTGGCAATAACCATGATAGGAAACATAATGCTACATACATAGTAACTCTTGTATTTCAGGTTAGGTCCAGAAGTCTGTTTTTTACCTATGTCTAAGTCTATAGTAGCTGAAGAGATTTTAGCTTGTAACGCTCACATGCATTTCCAATAAACACGAAAGAGATTTAACATATGTGAATTGTACAAGGTCTTCAAATCAGGTACAATACTTTTTTTTAGAGTTTTCTTGATTCATCTATATTGAAAAATGTGTTGAAGCAAGTCTGTCTTCGTTAATGATCTCCAGAAGTAACTGGAATACCTTCTGTAGCTAACTGTATCTCCAGAAAGACACTCACTATTTTCTACCCGTTCTGGAACAAAATTTTTGACTATTTTTTTTGTGCTGGAGATCAAATCTAGGGTATCCTACCATTGAGCTATACTCTTACCATTTGAATGTACTTTTTAATCTTACCTAGGGTTAGCATTAAACTTACAAATATGCAGAGTTTAGTCCTATCTTCAAAAGTTTTTCCATCTCTGGTTGATAAATGATCATTGACATACACATGACATTTTTCATATGTTATGACTTATTTTTAGTAGTGGCCCCAGATTTAGCAACATATATTTATGAGTAATCTAAGTCCACTTTCCAATGAGCTGTAAACAGTTTTATAGTTTACCTGTAAACAGGTAGTTAAAATACCGTATAATTAAGTGTACTCAATTTCTCTCTCCCTATTCCTGCAACCTTGTTGTCATCCATTTCACTTATCCATGTGCTATAATCCACACACTATAATCACACAATACACTGTTACTACTATTATGTTGAAAAGTTATGTATTTTGTATATAAAAATGAGAAATTTTATTATGTTACCTTTATTATTTTCCCCCTATCCCCCCCGGTACCAGGGATCAAGTTCCTTGTGCTTGCAAGGCAGGTGTGGTGCCACTGGGTGAAATCCCTGACCCTACCTTTATTATTCTTTATCCCCAGCCCTATTTCTTTTGTTATATAGATTCAAGTTTTGTACCTATGTGATTTTCTTTTTCCCTGAAGAACTTCTTCCATCATTTTCTGCCTTGCAAGTATGCTAGCAGTGATACCCCTCAGTTTTGTTTGTTTGAGAAAATTTTTATTTCCCTTTACTTTTGCAGGATTGCTCGATACAGAATTATATACTGGCATTTTAAAAATTTTCAACAGGAAGTATTTGAAATACTTCAACAGGAAGTATTTCAGTCAATTCTCTTCTTTCCATTTGACCTAAGGGAAGTTGCTGATTTTTCAGTTCCTCTTTTCTCTTGGTGGAGCATCAAGTGATGACAACTTCCAAGCTGTTTATATATAAGAGCTGAACCATAAAGTTCCTTTGTCCTTTAAAATGCTTTCTAAAATTCCAAATATTCATGCAATATCCTTAGTTTACTTAGACTTTTTATTTTAAAATGTTATCTTTATTTTCCCTTGTGAGTATTTCTTTTTATTGAAAACGTTTAATCTTGTCACTACTTGTACTTAATGGACATGGCATGACTTTTAGTATTCTTAAAATATCTCAAAATCAACCACAGAAACAACTGAAATTTATTTACAACACGATAAAGAAATAAATGTAGCTATTTTTCTTGTACCATTCTTGCAACTCTTTAATTGCCATACACAAGAATTTTGAATTTATCTTTTAGATTCATCATACAGAGTATGTATATAGAAAGAATTCAGGTGACTTCAACATGATTTACATTAATTTTTATTTTCTTGTAGTAGGAGCAATAAAGAAACAAGGAATGCTGAAGGAATAAAGAATTATGATTAGGCAAGTGATTATGGAGTATACATTTCCAGAAGGTTTGAATTTCTATTTGAACCAGTTCTCTACAATAAAACTACTTCTTTTATATACTGTAAATGGATTCAATAATTACAGCATCTAACTAGATATGATTACTCAAGTATCAAAAATATTAGGATATTTAGTTGTTTTATCATCCAAATCATAAACTAAATGATTATATATCTTCAACTTTGAGAAAGCTCTGTATTCTCAAGCTAATTTTATGCATTGATTGATATCTTTCAATATTTTGCTTTTAAAATAAAATTTTAAAATATTTTTTCAAAGTATAATTATTATCTATATAGAAAATTAATTCTTTCTTGATGATAGAGCATAAATGTTAAATGTTATGCGTACAACTTGGAATTATTTTGTGAAACTTGAGCCTTATCAATCTTGGGATTTTCAAATTGTGATTTATGCACAAAACTAGTGTTTGGGTATTTAAAGAATGATTAGCAAATGTGAGGATTATCTAAGTCATGAGCTTTAATTTCTGCTGCTTAGTTTTATTATTGATTTCTTTACTAAATAATACCTTCTCAGGGGAGGACACAGAGGGAGCAAAGAGGACCTGAAATGCAAATTAGTTAATTTTATTACTGATGGCTAGCGTTTGGAGAAAAGGTT